TTCATCATCGTAAGCTTGCTTTTATATTTCCTACATGAAATCCCAAGGAACTACTCTGAAATCATGGAGTTGCGACGAATGTAGGACATAGTACACGATTTCTGTCCACAATAGCTATGGGCTGAAACCAAGCCAGTTACTAGGGGAAAGGTACTATTTTCTGCCTGCAAAATTTTTTTCTCAACAAGATAGGTAAGTCTCAGCATAGGCATGGGATACCAGCATTGGGCACAACTGTAAGCAACCATCTGAGACTCTGGTTTACAATCAGTTGCAGATTACACTCTTGGCTACATGACAACACAGGGAGACATACAACACTGAAGTTTTATACTAGAATACAAATAAGTATGGGAAATAGGCACAGCAGCAGTAGAAATTAATAACGTGTCAGACACTCTAAGTACTTTAGAGTTAATCCTCACTTTAATCTGTAAATATTATTATTATTATTCCCATTTACAGATGAGGAAATTGAGGTTGAGAGAATTTCACTCACTTGTCTGAAAAAGCAACTTAGCCATCATACTACTGTTCAACCTCCCATTTAAATTTGCCCTCTAACTGTAATTGTCTCACCTTTTAAAGTTTACAGTCATCATTATTTGTATATACATTCTCTATATTTGTAGCAAATGTTTCGAACTCTATCAACAGATTGAACCACAGGAGTTGTCTTGCCAAGATAAATCCATTTTGAAATCTAACCAGAAATCTTATTTCAAAATAGAAATGGAAGGAAAAAAAGTTGGGGAGTGGGAAGGAGGAGGGGCCTGTGGAGATGGAAACATACATCTTCCCTTCTCTAAACAATCTGAAAAAGAGCCAGCAGAGATGAGTCTGGCCTCTATTTTTGATGAATATACAAATAGTCACGCGCCTCCACTGTGCTCACTAACAGGTATCCCCAGTACATCTCCCACCCTTTGGCCACCTTCATTATTGTCAGTGGTGAACCACCACTTTCCTCATACCTTACGCTTTTATTTCCATTCAGCCACACCCCCAAGTAACACACAATCTAAGTTAAAAAAAAAAAACTTATGCAAATAAAGCTTCAAGCAAATCACTCCCACGTTTCCATCCAACCAGATCATCACTCTGCAGCTCGCCAGCTGTAGAAATTCTAGAGGTACTACTACCCTCACTAATTTTCTCTTACTACCTAAAGCAAAACAAACATTTTAAGCATCACGCTTTCATTCAAACTCTTTTTGTAATCACTAAATATAACTGAAACATGTATTCCACTGGTAACAACTGCCTTTTCAAATCTTCTCCATAGGAAGTCAACATATTTTTCTTACCTGGGGATTAGAGGAGTTAGTACCCCCTCGCTCCCCACAAGTATTTCTAGACCATTCTCTATAATTGTTTCCCAACACCATCTTCTCTTCTGAAATTCATGCCATTAATTTCTGCTTCCTATGTGAAGTCCTCCTTGATCTCCTCCCCTAGAAAAATTTCTTCTTCCTGCTTAACTTTTACAACCAGGCAATAGGTTCAGAAGTCAACAGGATATTTTATACAGTAAAGTACTATCTCTAAATCCCAAATTCCAGTTGCTCTGTGTGTGTGTGTGAATGTGGGGATGGGTAGTGGGAGGCTAATACTGGTAACCAGGAAGCGGAGAAAAAAGGAACACTTGGAAATATAACTGGAAAAAAGGCTATACAATAATGTGTTCAGAGTAGTGAAGGGGGACGGGGGGACATTTTCCAAGCAAAACCAAGTCCTGAGCAACAGAAGCACAAGAGGCACTAAGAACCTAGTCCAACAGGAAATATACACTATCTTTCAACAGAAAACCCCAGAGTGTTCAAAATACAAATTGCTAACTTTTGAGGAATTCATCATGGTCTTCTACGAGAAAAAGCTATCAGCTCAGCAGAGAAGAAATTTGCTCTCAGGACTAAGAACCTTCTCATCCTCCACCAACCCCTTTCCTTTCCAGGCAGTACAAGTTTGATAAATATATGCATAACCCCAAGTAAAACTTTTGACTTGCTGAGGTTCTTTGCCTTGGTAGATAATTTTCAGAGTTAGAATTAACCATGTATTTTGATAACCCTGGACAAGAGTGCTTGCTGCAAACAAAAACAAAACAAAACTTGCATAATTTGATCAGTGAATTCACTAACAGACACCTCTCTCAGGAGGCCAAGAGGCCTGATAGCAAAAGAGTAATTGTAAGGAATGTTTGGAAACCCAAATAAAGGAAAAGAACATCTGTGTGACATCTATCAGATATAAAACAAGTCTGAAAAGTATTGAAACCAAGTGATGGAAACATGAGGGTTCATTAGAATTGTCTCTCTACTTTTGTGTGTGTTTGGAAAAGTCCATAATCAAAGATTCAAAAAAATTAAGATAGAAACAAATCAGCAAAAGCTCTCAGAATTCCTCTTGTCTTAAATGACAATGAGAGGAGCCAAAACACAAGCTTCGCATGTCTAATACCTGCACAGAACCTGCATGAACATAAGTGAGTGGGAGGAAAAGCAAAACATAAAACAGGCTTTTCTTTTTGAGGCCAGGTGAAGCCAGCTTTCTTTGAAGCGTAAATTAAAAAGTTAGTTCCTGAAGGTGGGAAAGGCAGGTCAGCATAGAACCACTCCTGACAGACTGTACAGGTAGGTGCAGCAAAAGAAAGCAGCACTCTCTGAAGTGCCCATTTCTTCTCTTTGATTAATTCTATGCCAGTAAGATGGGGCGGGGGGCAGTAGATAGGGATAAAATTCCCTGTCCAGCATTCTCCACCCACTTCCAACGCATTTGTCATGATCGGTGTCATCACACACTTGCAAAGTTATAAGCTCAGTGGCTCATCCCTAAGCTTTGCAGGACACTGATCAGCTTAATTTAAGACTATTCTATTCTTCTTTTAAAAAATGAAGGACAAGGAGGGGGACGGATGGAGGAGGGGAGAAGGAGGAGAGTTTTCTCTTTTAAACACAAATGTATAAGCAGAAAAATAACTACAGTCTATAAAATATAAACAAAACTTCTACAAGGAAGTACAGGAGCCATAGGTTAATGCTGCTTTCCTCTGATTATTAACTTATATTTTAAGGCAGAAATCACAGCTCTGAGTCCAATTCCCCCATACACCACAAAAATGTATACGTTTTACTTTTGTAGCAACAACAAATATAAGTATGTGGGGAGAAGGAAAGCACATTACTAAAATTCTGTCTGCTTAATCATAATGACAGAATTTCCCCCTACACAGCACAGAGAAAAGTTCATTGTAAGATACGTGAGATTAAAATTATTTTAAAAGAAACAAGAGAAATAAGATAGTAATTTACAATTTACATTAAGCAATGAAAGTATTTTTAATTCGTTATTATGAACACTAATAACTCCAGTAATTAGCACTTGAACATTTTTCAACAACAGGAAACACCAGAAATGAAGTTACAGTCATCATAAGGTATATTTTTATCTTTCAGTAGGTGTTACGTTGTATAGCATGTAACACCAAAAGAGCCTGTATGCACTGTATACGCAGCGTTACTATAGGTTGTAATTTTCAGAAGCATATGAAATAAACATGAGAAACTTCTCAGATGCATTATAAACAACATTTACATTTTGAAATCAATTTTAATTAATAGACAAACCAGAATGTAATGCTAAGATGATATTATCGGAAAATCGTAAGAGCATACCTAAAAGAATAAAACTACATTTGGGAAAAACAAGAATAAATCTGTAGCAATCACACTAATCAAATTTAAATTCTTAGAAAATAAGCAGGTTATAAAACATACTTTAAAAATATTCACAAGATAAGTATATCATTGGATGTGTGCATATAAATTGTAAAATTGACAAAATCACCCTCAAATGTAAAATTTTACATATTATTAAAAATATGATCAATATTTAAACAAATCCAAACACACAATATGAGAAAGTAAGGACGGCAAACACATGATAATAACAAAGGATATACTGGTTCCTTTGTCCCTATCCCAGGGTAGATATCAAGAATCAATCAGGGACTTCCCTGGTGGCGCACTGGTTAAGAATCCGCCTGCCAATGCAGGGGACACAGGTCCGAGCCCTGGTCCGGGAAGATCCCACATGCTTCAGAGCAACTAAGCCCGTGCACCACAACTACTGAACCGGCACTCTAGAGCCCGTGAGCTACAACTACTGAGCCCACGTGCCACAACTACTGAAGCCCACACACCTAGAGCCCGTGCTCCGCAACAAGAGAAGCCACTGCAACGAGAAGCCCACGTACCATAACAAAGAGTAGCCCCTGCTCGCTGCAACTAGAGAAAGCCACACACAGCAACAAAGACCCAAGACAGCCAAAAATAAATAAATGAATAAATAAATTATAAAAGAAAAAGAATCAATCAGTGCATTCTTTCTCTCTGGACCCAAACAAACCCTCAGAAGCACTTCCAAAAAGAGTACTCAGGTACCCATTACCAAGAGACCACAATGAAATATTAAATTATACCTATTTTCTACCCCTAATCTAAGATTTTCATGACTTAAAACATTTAAACAAATGTTTTGGCAATTTGGGCAATTATTTTAAAATCAGAAATGGTTATATTTTCATATCATTTAAAATTCACTTAATCAAGAAACGGATTCCAATGATTTCTTTCACTTCAAGGAAGGTTACATTGCTGAAACAACCACCACAAAACGAAATGGACTCAATGGCAAACTTAAATCCATTCATAAAAAATAATGGAATATGTTACTTTCTTTTGAGAAAAGAAAGCACACTCTTTTGAGGGTGTGCTTTGAGAGCTGACAATGAACATACTTGGGCCATTAGTAAGAATACTGATAAAGCAGAAAAAATAATACTCTTTTCAATATAAGCAATACATTCTCCCATTCTCTACTCAGTAAAGCAGGGGACTGATAAAGGCATGAAGGGTCCTGGATTTTCACGGATCAACAAGGAAATAAGGAGTAAAGCGTTGATTTATGGCATTAGCAAAGATACCAAAGTTAACACTTACTTTTGCAAAGGCTTCAAAAATGTCAAAGGAAGGTGGCAGCTGAGAAGCATCCTGTATTTCTTCTCTCATGAAGTGTTGAAATGTCAATACAAGTTGCCTGAGGCCCTCTTTCTTATCTTCAGTCAGTTTGTTAATATCTTTTTTAAAGATAAAATAAATAGTACAATCACACTGTGAACTTTCAATGGATAATTTTCAGGTGTTCAATGGTAGCTGTTAAGGCAGATATTTCCTACCCAGATTCCATTCTGACAGAGATCAAATGCATCTTTTTATTTTTTGACAACTACAAATCATTATCATACATTATCAATCAAATTCTGCCAAATGTTATCTACAAAATAAGATCAAACACCTAGCAAAACAAAATAAATACACAAACTGATAAAAAAACATTAAAACCAAAATCAGTAATGATGTGTGTTAGCAGATTTTCTACATCCTCCTGCACACATGTTCAAACCACCATACATGCTTATTTAGTTAGTGAATTTAAGTAGACTTTTCCATGAAACAATTTACAGCCAGGTCATAACTAACTGATAAACAGTATCATCTCAAAGACAAAAAAAAACTAAAGCAAGAACAGAAAAGTTCAGTTAAATTAAGTTCAAATTGGTGAAATTGGTCAAGTAGAAAGTACATCGAGAAAAAAACATGAATCAACCAAAGAAATCTCATTTTCAAGTTCTTTTCAGGTTGAATAATAAACAAAATATGATACTGCTTCAACCCAAACAGAAGGAGAAAGTTCCAAAGCCAATATCACCCCTTTAAAAACTCAGTTTCATTCATACCACAAAGGGGTGTGAGGACTAGGAGTGCACAGTTGAATTAATAACGTTTGAGAGCACTTCACTTAAGGCAGCGTGTATGACACTGCTACTGAGCAGGGCTAATGTTCATAGTAAAACTCACTGCAAGAGATGTTATTTACCTAGCAGTAATATAAGAAGAAAAAAATAGGGCTTCCCTGGCGGCGTAGTGGTTGAGAGTCCGCCTGCCGATGCAGGGGACATGGGTTCGTGCCCCGGTCCGGGAAGATCCCACATGCCGCAGAGCAGCTGGGCCCATGAGCCATGGCCGCTAAGCCTGCGCATCCGGAGCCTGTGCTCCGCAACGGGAGAGGCCACAGCAGTGAGAGGCCCGCGTACCGCAAAAAAAAAAAA